GTAATTAGGCAATCCGTTACTAATATCTTATACGAGTAGCAATTAGCAATTGCCCAATAATCAATGCGCCCGAATCACTAATCGATAAGTGAGTCATGGGCTAATGCCTATGAGACTTGAATTTTGTTCCCGAAAGATATTATCACAGATACATACCTGCGCTGAAAAGTGTGGAGCATACTCGACTTGGCTTGCGACTTCTTAGTATAGTATTTCTTAGCAGTAGACCAAGCAAAGAATGTACAGTCCAAAACTAGTGAAACCAATCATGCTTTTAATGATAATTTTTTGTTTATGTCAATTAGATATAACATAGGTAGTAGCTGGAGTCAAAATAACAACTCTAACCCTAAAACTATGCTCACCTAATGTTTTACAAATTCACGTTCTTAAATAAATTCTGCGACCTGTGCCCATAAGCATGTTTTATTTGGCACACCTAAAGACCTCTCAGACCATATTTTGGAGTAGAATAATAGGAAAGTGACTTTACTACAAGTGCATTTAGAACGGCAGAATAGGCCCGTTGGCAAGTGTTAAAGAGTCAACAGATAGCACAAGCAAACGACTCAGTGACATTTTTAGGTACTCGCTGAAGGTAAACAATCATGGTGCACCGCGACGCAAGAACACTACCCGAGAGACTACAGGTCTGTTGAAAGCCTGGCTGAATGAGCATCGGAAGAACCCTTACCCCAACAAGAGTGAGAAAATAATGTTGGCAGTGATCACAAAAATGAGTCTCACCCAAGTCTCCACGTGGTTTGCCAATGCGCGACGTCGATTGAAGAAAGAGAACAAGGCGACATGGAGTATGGCGCTGGATCAACACTTCCCCGACCTGGATGAGGGCTTCTCTGGTCCTGCTGGGGAAGAATTTCGGGAAAGTGAGGCGTATGTTACTTCCTCATCTCCTCCACCGCCGCCTCGACTCTCTCTGCCACCTTATGAGGAAGAAGAGAGAGAGGAGGATGGGGACGTAAAAAGGGTCGGAGAGAAAATGGAGAAGGCGACAACCAAGACGCCAGAGACGAAGTGCAGTGGAAAAATTTGGTCTGTGGTGGAGATGACGGAAGGTGGATAGAGGCAAAGTCTATAATTTGTAACTGTACATACTTTTATGCATATTTAAGTATGCATGATCTGCTCGACACATAATGAAATTGAACTTCTAAATTGGGATTTAAAATTTTGGAATGACCGCAAAAGTGCCTATTGTAGCGATCAACTCGATAGGAGAATAATCAAAAATATGAAAAAATGATGCATCAGCATCAGGGTAGGTGCAGAGGACGAGACGTTTGGAGGTACAGTAATGTAGGCTCAATCCAACTGGTGGTTGATAAGGCACGTGAAGTGAACGAATTAACTTGCTCAGTCCAACCTGAAACTTCAACGCCGTTAACACGATCCATATGGATGCCAGATATTACCAAGGTGATAAACAACGCGGACTCACGCAACCAAAGCAATGTGGCCATTTTCTTGCGTGCTATTTTGCGCGTCTGGAGGATGCATTTGTTTAAGCGGATCATTGAGGAGCTAACGAATGGGCGTGGGGCTCGCCGAA